TTTTATGTATTATGGTGATCCGTGATCTTTGATATTAATGCTGTCATTGTTTTGGGGTGCCCCAAGCCCCATAAATGTTGTATGTGTTCTGACTGCTCCCCTGACAAGCCATTCTCCAATTTCTCTCTCTCTCCTTGGACCTCTCTATTCCCTGAGACAAAACATACTGAAATTAGGCCAATTATTAATAATAACCCTACAATGGCCTCTAATTAATCAAGTGAAAGAAAGAGTCTCACATCTCTCACTTGAAATCAAAAGCTAGAAATAATCAAGCTTACTGAGGAAGGCATGTTGAAAGTCAAGACAGGCCAAAAGCTAGGCCTTTTGCACAAAATGGTTAGCTAGGTTGTGAATGCCAAGGAAAGGTTCTTAAAGGAAATTAAAAATGCTACTCCAGTGAACACACGAACGGTAAGAAAACAAACCCACCATATATGGAGAAAGTCTGAGTGGTCTGGACAGAAGATTAAACCAGCCACAACATTCCCTTCCTTAAGTTAAAACCTAATCCAGAGCAAGGTTCCAACTCTCTTCAGTTCTATGAAAGCTAAAAGGGGTGAGAAAGCTGGAGAAGAAAAGTTTGATGTTAGCAAAGGTTGGTTCATGAAATTTAAAGTAAGAAGTCATCTCCATAACAACAAAGTGCAGGGTGAAGCCGGAAGTGCTGATGTAAAAGCTGCAGCAGCTTATCCAGAAGACCTAGCTACGATAACTGATGAAGGTGGCTACGCTAAACAGCAGATTGTCAAGAGACAAAACAGACTTTTATTGGAAAAAGATGCCATCTTCTTCATAGCTAGACTTTCATAGCTAGAGAGGGGAAGTCCATGCCTGGCTTCAAAACTTCAAAGGACAGTCTCATTCTCTTGTTAAGGACTAATGGTGACTTTAAGCTGAAGCCAGTGTCTCATTTACTACTCTGAAAATCTTGGGAGGCATCCTGAAAATTCATAGAATTACGCTAAATCTTCTCTGCCTATGCTGTATAAATGCAATAACAAAGCCTGGATGAAAGCACATCTGTTTGTGGCATAGTTTACTGAATATTTTAAGCCTACTGTTCAGACCTACTGCTCAGAAAAAAAAAAAATCCTTTCCAAATAATATTGCTCATTGACAATGCACCTGGTCACCCAAAAGCCCTCATGGAGATGAACAAATAGATCAATGTTGTTTCATTGTTAGGAACACAACATTGATTCTGCAGCCTGTGGAATAAGGAGTCATTTCAACTTTCAAGTCTTATTATTTAAGAAATACATTTTGTAAGGCTATAGCAGCTGTAGATAATGATTCCTTCAATGGATCTAGGTCAACTGAAAACCTCTGGAAAGGGTTAACCATTCCAGATGGCATTAAGAACGTTCATAATTAATGGTAGGAGGTCAAAATATCAAACATTAGCAATAATTTTGAAGAAGTGGATTCCAACCCTCATGGATGACTTTGAGAGGTTCAAGATTTCTGTGAAGGAAGTAACTAGAGATGTGGTAGCAATAGCAAGAGAACTAGAATTAGAAGCGAAGCCTGAAGATATGCTTGAATTACTGCAATCTCGTGATCCAACTTAAACAAATGAGGAGTTACTTCCTATGGATGAGCAAAGGAAGTGGTTTCTTGAGAAGAAATCTACTCCTGGTGAAGATGCTGTGAACATTGTTGAAATGACAAGAAAGGACATAGAATGTTACATAAACTAGTTGATAAAGCAGCAGTAATGTTTGAGAGGATTGATTCCAATGTTGGAAGTAATTCTACTATGGCTGAAATGCTGTCAAACAGCAACACATGCTACAGAGAAATCTTTCCTGGAAGAGTCCATCTATGTAGCAAACTTCACTGTTAAGCTATTTTAACTAAGATATTGCTACAGCCATCTTAACCTTCAGCAACCACCACCTGATAAGTCAGCAGCCATTACCATAGAGGCAAGACCCTCCACCATCAAAAAGACTACAACTCACTGAAGGCTGATGATCATTAGCAATAAGGTATTTTTAATTAAGGTATGTACATTGTTTTTTAAGACACAATGCTAGTGCACATTTAATAGACTACATACAGTATAGTATAAACATAACTTTTATATGCACTAGGAAAGCAAAAAAATCATGTAACTAGCTTTACTGCAGAATGCAGTGGACTGGAACAGAATCCGCAATATCTTAAGGTATTACTAGGTTTCCAACAATTAAATTTCAACACATCTTGATAGAAAAATTACAATAGTCATATAATTCTTGTATTATGTAGCTAAAAAGCAACGGGCTATTTAAATATATAGAATACCCATCTCTTTATAGCTACACGAGTTAATAATACAAGTTAGTCAGAACTTGCAGCCACTGACAGAGCACTTAGCTGGTGCCAAGCACTATTCCAAGCACTCTACTGATTCCCTAAAACCTTATAACGTACTGTATTGTTATTATCCCCATTTCACAGACGAGAAAATCACCTTCTAGGGTCACATGACCTGTACCCAACCTGTCCAACCTCCTGCAAAAATTTCCTCTCAAAATTCTAAGCCTTCCTACCATATTCCTTGAAACTCTTGTTGTATTACAAACATATTTCCATGCCTAACTTCTTTACAACAGAATGTCTCTCTAACTTTTCATTTAACAATGAAGACTAGCCTGAGCATTTCTACCTCTGCTACCTTCCTCTTAAGCAAAGTTCCTCTTTTCCCACGCCCACATATCAGACTGGAAATGCCCTGGGTCACAAGGTGCACCCACTCATTCAAAAGTCCCTTCTCCAGGCCGGGCGCGGTGGCTCACGCCTGTAATCCCAGCACTTTGGGAGGCTGAGGCTAATGGATCACCAGAGGTCAGAGGTTTGAAACCAGCCTGGCCAACGTGGTGAAACCCCATGTCTACTAAAAATACAAAAATTAGCTGGGCATGGTGGTGTGCATCTGTAATCTCAGCTACTCGGAAGACAGAAGAAATGCTTGAACCCAGGAAGCAGAGGTTGCAGTGAGCCGAGATCACGCCATTGCACTCCAGCCTGGGCAACAACAGTGAAACTCTACCACAAAACAAACAAACAAACAAACAAACAAACAAAAAAACTCCCTTCTCTGACAAGAACTCCATTCTTTTTTTTTTTTTTGAGATGGAGTCTTGCTCTGTCGCCCAGGCTGGAGTGCAGTGATGCAATCGTGGCTCACTGCAAGCTCTGCCCACCGGGTTCACGCCATGCTCCTGCCTCAGCCTCCCGAGTAGCTGGGACTACAGGCACCCGCCACCACATCCGGCTAATTTTTTGTAACTTCAGTAGAGACGGGATTTCACTGTGTCAGCCAGGATGGTCTTGATCTCCTGACCTCGTGATCCGTACGCCTCAGTCTCCCAAAGTGCTGGGGTTACAGGCGTGAGCCACTGCGCCTGGCCAACAACTCCATTGTTTATGCTGCCATATGCCCTCCTACAATCTTTGTGGGACAAATGAAATGTATAGAAAGCACCTCTGGAAAATTCACATACGTACAACCTTTTGCAAATAATCTGTTCCATGGCCTCCCTGGAACTCTTCTGAAGCTCTTCCACTTACAGCCTGCACACAACCCATCTCCCATCTCTGCCCGGCAGTCTCTCAAAGTATGGTCCACAGGCCACCCATATCAGAACCACCTAGAAGGTGTGTTTAAAACCATTCTAAATTTAAACCATTCTAGAGGCTTATGGAATAAGGTGTCATTTCAACTTTCTCCACTGGAATTAACTTTAGAATGGACTCTCCAAGGACGGAGCCCAGGAAACTCCATTTTAAATACTCTCCCCAGGAGATTTTTATGGCTCATTAATATTTAGTGCCCATCTCTAAGTATATATGACCCTGATTGAGAACTTGTGTTCTAAAATACTCATTTCTATTCATTTCTGCCTCATCCCTTGGCCTCATTCTAGAAGACTTTAACATCAATACAGCAATCCACCTCACCTATGTATTAGCTTCCTTGGGGGTGGGGGGAGTGGTATATTAGTGACCAGCTCCTCCTGTCCATGATAGCAACCCACTCCTGTTATTGTCACATTCTAGACCCAGAACAACCCCCTTACCAGCACTCCTAACACCAAGAGTGTACTCTGTCCAACCTATCCATCTCCCTCTCCCACCAAATCTGCTCTTGGGCCACAGCCAGACCCAATCCCATGACTTCTGCTTCCTCCCAACTAGCAAAGCCCACCTCCAGCTTCTGTTCTGGAGGTGCCCAGTACAGACAACAGTCTGTCTCATGCCCTCTGAGACTGACTCCCCACAGACTTCAGAAATACCGACCCTGTACCTTCCATCTCTGAGATGCCACTGTAGGACTTGGGATGCCAGAGCTAGTCTAGCAGGCTATTACCCTTAGACTCCTTTTCCATCTCCAGTTCAGGTTGGCCTAGTGATAACAGCCATTATTATAACTAATATTTACAAAGCACTAACTGAATTAGGTAACAATTAATTCATTTAATCCTCATAACTCTATGATAGGGGTACATCATTATCCCCATCATAAACCAGTGACATTGAGGCTAAGAGAGATAACATAATTTGCCTAAGGTCCCATAGGTAGTGTGCAACTGAGCTGAGATTCGAAGCCCTCCAGCCCCTTTCCACGGCCTGAGCTCAGGTTCCTTCCTTCTGTTCTAGTAATGGAGGAGAAGAGCAAGAAAAGAAAAGAGCAACCCAGTCATTTGCCACTTGAAGAAAACTAGCTCAGGGCTCCTATTTTGCTGGAAAACTTTGCCTTGTGCTCCGCTCCTTCATCTTTATATTTGAGATTCATGTTTTACCCTCTCCTGAGCTTTTTATAACTCATCTCCAAAAGATGGCAACAGATAGCGGTTTTTTAAAAAAGTTTTGGAAAGCTTATTTATCAGTTTTATGTTGAAACTTTTGTCTTTTATCAGATGAGACTTCTAAAGAGTAGCATGTAAAGTAATATGGAAAACTTCGAGACTGAAAATGAATACGGTGGCAAAGTTTTCAAACTCACCTCTTATTTTTCTTATAATTCTCCAGTTGCTGGGACTGCATATGTTTGCATCTTTCTAATTCACACTGCCCACATAAGTCTTCCAGATGCAGCAGGTTGTTCTCTACCTCCTCAAAACTCGCCTCTAAATGAGCTGAAAGTATATAAAAATAAACAAACGTTGAAAGTCAGAATCCTTGATCATGATGAATACAAAAAGTATCAAAAAGGTAAAAGTTCACATTGTTGAGATTGTTTTGCATTTTTAAGTACTTTTTATTAAACCTTCTTGATGCAAAAGAAAACATACTGGCCAACATTAAAACATAATTCAAAATATCTTTTTTGACTACATTTCAAGCATTATCAAGAAATAACTTTCCTAAATACTTATTAACCACGAAGACAAAGACATGGAGAAACATTATCTTGATTAATGTAATGCTATATCCTAATGATCCCATATACCACATGCGAATAAGCAATTTTCACATAATAAGAATATGGCAAAATATAATTAACACAAATTATACCTAACCTAACCTAATTATACCTATACTTAACTAACTTAATATCTGTGTTTCTAAATTACGTTAGCATTTGTTTTGCCTCCAGCACATCACATACACAAATCTTCAAGGCACAGTAGCTATGCACAAATACCTAGTAAGCATGGGTTACCAGGCTACTCAGTGGTTGGGTGAGGAAGTGACTTCGCTCTGCCTGTCAGGTGACTAGTCTTTCACTACTCCACTCTGCTGCTAGGCCACAGAGCCTTACAGCTTTATTGGAACATGAAGATCACTCACTCAAACCTTTCACTGAAAAGATTCAAGAACTAAAGCCTAGGAAAACAAATACAGTGCCTTGCCCAAGCAAGCTAGTGAAAGGCCACACGGCCAGTGAAGGGCAGTCGGGAATCCAAACTGAATCCCTCTCACATTACACTGATTTCCAGTTGATAGGATGCTAAGTAAACTGAGATTGCAGGGGCAAGGATTAGTTGTTTTCTCATATGAAAGAAAAGCTTTTGAGGTCAAACATTTGAGAACTCAGAGCCTCATAACTAGTTATCTATTATTCACTGATATATGGCAGCCACTGGGATACAAAGATGAAAAAGACAGTCCTGGAGCTCAAGGAGCTTACAGGAGAGGGGAGACATATTTCAATAGCAACAGAGCATGACAGAGTGAGGTGCCGTAGGAACTCAAAGGAGTGGCATCTAACACAGATGAGGGAAAGCTCAGCAAGAAACGATTCCCAAGCCGGGAAGTAACAGTGATCCAGTGGGGAAGGGAGGAACAAGTTGGCTCTGCGGCCTTCCAGTCTTGGGTTCATTTAAACGGCTACAATATAATTCCTTCATTTACGTACTAGCTTTTCATATGACTTTCTAAACCAGCTTTCATAGCATTTAGGTTTGAGACAAACTCCTCAAATTTCAACTGACACTTACAGGTTTACTGTGATGCAAATGTTTGCCTGTTTTTGGAAGTCCTAGAGAGAGCAATTAGGCACAAGAAAGAAATAAAGATATCCAAATAGGAAAGGAGGAAGTTGAAATGCCCGTTTGCAGATGACATGATCTTATGTAGAGAAAACTCTAAAAATGCCAGCAAAAAAACTTTTAGAACTTGATAAATAAATTCAGTAAAGCTGCAGGCTACAAAATCAACATACAAAAATCAGTAGCATTTCTACACACCAACGATGAAATTGCAGGGGGCAAGAAATCAAGAAAGCGGTCCCATTTACAATAGTTACAAAAAATTACAATACTTAAGAATAAATTTAACCAAGGGAAGGAAAGAGCCAGGTGCGGTGGCTCACACCTGTAATCTCAGCACTTTGGGAGGCTGAGGCAGGAGGATCCCTTGAGCCTAAGAGTTTGAGACCAAGGGGATGAAAGATCTCTACATGACAAACTATAAAACACTTATGAAAGAAGTTGAAGAAGACACAAAAATGAAAAGACATCCCCATGTTCAAGCATTAGAAGAATATTGTGAAAATGATCATACTGCCAAAAGTGATCTATAGATTAAATGCAATCCCTATCAAAACACCAATGACATTCCTCACAGAAATAGAAAAAAAAAAAATTCTAAAACTCATATGGAATCACACAAGACCCTGAATAGCCAGAGTAATCCTGAGCAAAAATAACAAAGCTGGAAGCATCAGATTGTCTGACTTCAAAATATACTACAAAAAGCTATAGTAACCAAAACAGCATGATGCTAGCATAAAAACAGACATGCTAGAACAGAGAACCCAGAAAACCCAAAAATAAATCCACATATTTATAGCCAATCAGTTTTTGACAAAGGCACAAAGAACATTCATTGGGAAATACATGGTCTCATCAATAAACGATGCTGGGTTAAGTGAATATCCATATGCAGAAGAATGAAACTAGACCCCTAACTTTCACCCTAGAAAAAAATCACCTCATAATGGATTAAACACTTAAATGTAAGAGCTGAAACCATGAAACTACTAGAAGAAAACATACGGGAAACATTTCAGAACATTGGTTTGGATAAAGATTTTATGGAGAAGATTTCAAAGACACAAGTGACAAAAGCAAAAATAGACAAACTAGATTACATCAAACTAAAAAACTTCTGCCTGGAAAAAAAAAAAAAAAATCAAGACTGAAAAGACAACCAGCAAAACAGGAGAAAATACCTGCAAACGACTCATCCCACAAGGGATTAATATCCTTTCCTTTGAATATATCCCTAGTATAGGACTGCTGGCCATATGGAGTTCTATTTTCCTTTTGTTTTGTTTCAGAGGAACCTCCATACTGTTTTTCATAAGGGCCCTACTAATTAAAATTCCTAAGAAATTCTTATACAAGGAACCCAAACAATTCAACAGCAAAAAATAAAAATAAAAAAAAAATCCTATTAAAAAACAGGCAAATGAACCGAATAGACATCTCTCAAAAGAAGGTACATGAATGGCCAACGGGTATATGGAAAAATCTTCAACATCACTAATTATAAGGGAAATACAAATCAAAACCACAATGAGATAACATCTCACCCTAGTTAGAATAGCTATTGCCAGATGGAAATAACAGGCACTAGAGACTCCAAAAAGGGGGAAGGGTGGGAAGGGACAAAGACTGAAAAACTACCTATTGGGTGCAATGTTCACTATTTGGGCATTGGGTACACTACAAGCCCAATCTCTTCCAATATGCAATACAGCCGAACAACAAACAAGCACTTGTACCCCCTTACCCCCTAAAAGTAATAATAAAAAAAATAGCTATTACCGAAAAGACCAAAAACAACAAATTCTGGCAAGGATGCAGAGAAAGGGGAGTTCTCATACGCTGTTGGTAGAAATTTAAATTAGTATAGCCATTATGGAAAACAGTATGGAAGTTCCTTAAAAAATCAAAAGTAGAACTACCATATGACCAGCAGTCCCACTACTATGGGGAATACAGCCCAGGGAAAGGAAATCAGTATCTGGAAGCGTTATCTGCACTCCCATGTTCATTGCAGCTCTATACACAATAGCCAAGACATGAATTCAACCTAAGCATCCATCAATAGATGAATGGATAAAGAAAATGTGTTACATATAAACAATGGAATACTATTCAGCTGTAAAAAAAGATTTAAGTACTATCATTTGCAGCAACACGGATGAGCCTCGAGGAAGGTATGTTAAGTGAAATAACCCAGGCACAGAAAGATAAATACTGTATGTTTTCACCCATATGTGGAAGCTAAATACGTTGATCCCAGGGAAGTAGAGGGTAGAATAGTGCTTACTAGAGGCTGCTGGGGAGGTGGGCAGTAGCCAAAGTTAACAGATACAAAATTACAGCTAGATAGGAAGAATAAGTTCTAGTATTCTATAGCACTGTATGGACAGTATAACAATTTACTGTATATGTTCAAATAGCAAAAGAGGGGATTTTGAATGTCCCCAACACAAAAAAATGGTGTTTCAGGAGATGGATGTGCTGATCACCTTGATTTATTACACACTGTGTACATGTATCAAAAATCACACTGTGCCCTATAAATATACACAATTGTGTGTCAATTAAAAATAATAATAAAAGCAAAAAATACACAAAAACTTAAAAATTTTTAAAAGAAAAGACAAGGCAGAAACTGGGAGAAAATCGTTGTAGAACATACCTGATAAAGGACTGATATCCAAAATATTACAAAGTACTCAATTTGCAACTGAGGGACAGTCTACAAAATATCTGATCACCATGTCTCAAAAAATTGTCATGGTCATCAAAAACAAAAAACGTTTGAGAAACTGTCAGAGCCAGGAGGAGCCTAAGAAGACAAGATGACTAAATTTAATGTGGTCTCCTGAATGGGATCTTGGAACTGAAAAGAATTATTAAGTTAAAAAAATTTTTTTTAAGTATGAATTTTTATTAATGAAGATTTTATTTTTAATCTTTGTTTGATCCAAACAGCTGTTAGATAATCCAGAAGTGTTGACATTTTCTCTTTTTATCCTCCTCTCAAGTATTTATCCTTTGAGTTACAAATAATCCAATTACATTTTTTATTTTAAAATATACAGTTAAGTTATTATTGGCAATAGTCACCCTACTGTGCTATCAAATAGTAGGTCTTATTCCTTCTTTTTTTTTTTTTTTTGACACTTTCTAATATCCTGAATTTTAACTCTATGAAATATTTGTGCTTATAAAAATTCCCTCTCCCCTCTGCTAGGGTATAAGACTTAAAAACTTGAATATGGTGGGGGGAATAAATTTTATTTAAAAGTGAAAATATGATGACAAGCAGTTTAGCAGTTTTCTTCAGACATTTTAGGTAGTGACTTTTATCATACTGATATATCACTGTAAACCACTGGTAAATCTGGAAACGGCTAATAATAATGTAGTTCAGAGTGGTTTTGAACCTAGTTTCAGGGGCCACATCAAACAGCTACTATATGTGATTATGGAACGCTTAAATGAAACAATTTGTAAAATCTAAATTTTAGCCAATAACTATATTTAAGATTTTTAAGAATGTCACAAATGGTACATAAAGAGTTTATATGGGGGAATCAGGCAAAATGATGTACTGCCATTTACATATATTTTTTTTTTTGTAGAGACGAGGCCTCACTATGACCTGGCTGGTC